TGTTCTCGTCTGGTTGGCTCTTTTTTTTTTGTTTTTTTCAACTACCCTGCACAAAGTAATTTATTTATTGTCAATGTCTGTGGGCATAATAAGTGGAGTTAGGTACATTATTTATACGCCTTGCATATTCACTATTCCACGGTATTTTGCTAGTCGATTTTTATCGCAATTCCAGTTCTAGGGCCCTCTCCTGCCTGCCCACATATTTATGGCCCAATATATTATATATTTATGTGTCTGTCATTTAATAAATTCTACTGATAATGTCATAGACATCAGCGTTAAAATGACCTCCGACCCCAGTGACTCCGAACTCTGAGTGTGTGTGCTTTTGGTGCTTCGCATGATTTGCTTCCATGATTTGTGTTGGTCAAAGTGGCAGAGGCGAATTGCCAGGAGGAGTCAATTTTTATTGTTGTTTATTATTATTTATTTATGTTTACGGTTTGCCCTCAACGGCTGCCTTTGTTTGGCCCCTTTGATGCACGCGGCGTATACGTAATTTGGAGTTTGTGGTACGCAAAGAATTCTCTGGCAATTGGGGGTTTTTCATCAAAAAAGTATGAATTTTAAGCTTGAAAAATTAAGTTTGATATATATTGTGTATCATATTCCAAAGATTTTAAAAACATATTTTTGGGGTTAAGTAATAAATACAAAAATATTATAATACCAAGCCTTTGTATATAAAACCTTTTCTTTATTCAGATTGTAATTTACATGTATTTTTAAGTACAGTATATTGTCAAACAATTAATAAGTAAACTCAACATTATTGTTTACCCCTCTTTCAATTTCCCCCCAGATTTTTCCGCTCATCATTTTACCGTTTATGCAGCATTTTCGACGCTTTTCAATTGTTGTTTTTGCTGCTGACTCAGCTGTCAATGTAAACCCCCCTCCACCGCCACCACTTTCGACCCCATTTGCATATCACATTCACGAATTTTTTTTTGTGTTCTCAAGTGGGATTCATTGCGATACTCAAAAATTGCTCAAAAGCCTTCAAATTGTGAGCCATAAATAACAAGGGAAAAAAGTCGTAAGAAAGCCCAAGTGATGGGGGACAAAGAACGAAGACTGCTTTTGTACTTGAATCGATTGTTGGCAATGAAGTCAATTACATAAACGGCATGGAGAAATAAGAGGGTACCTTAAAATATGGAAAGCGTGAGGAAGACAAATTATACGATGAAGAGCTTTGAACAAAGAATATCAATAAATATGTCAGAGACAAAGCTCCGGAATATTTGCAAGCTGATAGGTTATAATTGCATTTAAATAAGAATTTCAACAAGGTGGCCACAAAAAGAGACATATTTCATTTCGGAAGTAAAATTGGAATAAAAGCAAGTGAAGTGAATTGAATGAGATGGCAATCGGTTACTTAGTCCTTCAATTTATAAAAAAGAAATGATCATGAATATGTTTATCTAACAAAAAAATCGAGGATAAATGAAAATGATATTAGACACTTATTAATTAAACAATAAGGGAATAATAAAATAAAAAGAAATGGTTAAAAAAATAATTGTGTGCAACAAAATAATCATGTTAATTGGTGGGTATTAATTAAAAATTAACTTGCAAAAGAATCACCACGAAGGCGTGGAAAAACCTGAGTGGGAAAAGTGACTTGGGGAAAAATCAAGCAGAGGGTCAGACGCCTTTCCACACCTGCCACGCCCCCTTAACCAGCCCCTTCCCGAACATCGCTTTTGCCTGCCAATTTTCAACACCAGAGGGCGTCAAAGTGACGTGTCGTCTGGCTGGCTTTTTCCCACTTCTCCCGCCTTTTCCCCTTTTCCCGCCCTCCACGATTTTCCGACCCACCTTGACTTCTTTGCTTTTTCCCCCCTCGCCGAGTTCCCCCTTCGTTTTTGTGTGTGAAGCATTTAAAAGTCACTTAAGTGGAAATTAAAAAGAAATTATTCACTTTGGCACAAACACACACACACACACACACACACAGCCGTGCATAAAGCGTTTTCCCTGTTTTCCCAGCTTTCCTTTGCCCCAATTGCTTTTTTATTTTTTCCAGATAAATTTTTTTTGCTGCGCTCCGTTTGTTTGTTTGCTGTAATTGTTGTGGTCTGCCTCATTATTTGTATCTGGTCAAGGAAAAGCGGTGGAAAATGCGGGTGGAAAAGCGAGCCCCAAAAACAGATTCCACTTCCCCCGAAAAAAAAAAAGAACACCACCACCCCACCCCCTTTAATTGTGGTTCATTTTCCGAGACTTTTGAGTTTCTGGTCCCTTTGGCTTGTGGCACATTTTCTACATTCTCCTACATTTGACCACAATATTTTTGTGGAATTGCTCGCAAATTGTTTATTGCCAACCTCAAAGCTATTTGGGGATTATGGCCAACAGAGACAAGGTGTTGGCCATCATTTCCCCATTTTCCGACCTCTGAGCTGGCTTCGGGGCCAGCTTAATTTTAATGGCAATTAGTGAATGAAATCAGAGCAGTGTTTTGGGGCATTTACTTCTTGTTCTTCGGTGGCAAGGGGATAATCTTCTAACCCATTTTTTAAATCCTTCCACTTAAGAACTTAAGAGTTAATAAATTAATATAGAGATTTTAGTTTATTTTATTTATTAATAATTAAAAACATTGAAGAACATCGTCCTTTGAATAGTTTAACTTAAGAAGGACAGAAGATAAACTCAACGAAGTTATTTAAGACAAAATCTATTTAAAATCTAAATATAAAGCGATTTTCTTTTTGTTTTGATCAAATGCAGTGGATATATGACTCTATAATTTGTTCTCTTTTATGCCATGAATTTGTGTCATGTTCAAAGCGACCACTTTTTGATGTCGTTCGCGGCCTCATCAACTTAATCATTGAAGAAGAAGGAATAATTTGCCTGGCACAGATCCTTCGTCCTTTTCCGCTGCGTCCTGCCTAAAACTGAAAAGGCTGAGAAAAGAGCACAGCGCAGCACAAAAAAAGAGGAAAAATAAATAATGTGAAAAGAGGAAACATTCAGCTTCGTTGACGGCGACCCATTGACCAAGTTAAAAAGGCTAGAGCTTTATGGAATATATAGGGATATGGTCGCACATGTGTGAGTTATGCAAACCGTATATATATATCATATATATATATGCTATATATATATATGATATATTTTTTCCCTTTGCTGCGGAGGCACTTCAAATGCGGTTTGGGGCCGCGGAATCAAGCGCCAAGAGACCTCATAAAAAACGACTAACGCGACTGGCTCACACAGATACCCACTAACACTGCTGCACATATTGAGTTGTGGCTTAATGCCACACACACACACTCATACAGAAACACAACGACACACATAAGGGTTCAAAGTTTGGCAGAAGGAGCGCAAAAACCAAAACAGAAATATTTCGCTCCATTTTTTTGTACGTGAGTTCTTTTTTTGTTTTTTTTTAAATATTTTTCTTCCCACAAAATTTGTGTCATGCCATGTGCCTGGGATTGCATAACCCCCTTTTTTGGGGCCTGCAGCCCGATTTCCCCACCCCCCCACACAGCCACAGCTTCATTTGGCAACTGAAAATTCCCTCGGATTAAACAGGGAATTGAAACTAGACGAGGAACTGAACCAAACAAAAGCGTAATAAGAACAGAAATTGCTACTATAAATTAAATAAGGTAAAATTGCCAAAACTATTTGGGAAATTATTGCCGTCAAGGGAAAGAAAGATGTTTGGGTAACATTGAAAATATTAATTGAATGAACAACGAATATCACACACAAGATCAATAAAATTTGAACATTAAATTTTGCCCATATTAATCATTTTAATTTTTTTCTCACACACAATAATTTTATGACAGTAAGAAAACATTTAACAGCCAAAAAATCCTTAAAAAATATAAGCCTCCAGTAAATAAATATATGTTAATTAATGTTTATGAAAAAAATAAAATAAATAAATATTTATTATTTATAACCATGCACATTAAAGTAATATAATTCCAAGCCTGATAATAAGTTTTAAATATTATTTTGTAATGGATTAAAATAGGTAATTTTCTTTTCTAGCCCCCGAATACATTAAGTTTGTTTGATAATTACTTAACATTAACTCGTTGCTATTTAACATGTAGTTGAAAATTGAATTTTTAAATTACCCAGAGGGATCTGCATCTGATATTTCAATTTAAGCTGGAGTGGCAAACGCATCTGGAATTAGGGATTAGGATGACAGGGCGACAACCACAAAGCCATCAGCACAGCAGGCATTCCATTTCCCATTTTCCATTTTCCGCCCGCTTCATGGAGTTCCACATTCGCTTCGCTGGCAACTTAAATTTTTCCCACTTAACACAGGGACGGAGTTGAAATAGAGCGGGGCTGTCAACGGGGTTTTGCACTCGGTGGGTTTTGGGAGGTAGTTTTTCAAAGGGGGTTTTCCACAAGCATCTGTGATGCACTGCATCCACGGCAAAAAGTTCATTAATCTAGTTACAAGTTCGCGCAGACAGTTCGCATAATCAATCAATAGACCCACGATGGAGGTTCTCTGGGAGGCAGAGAGATTCTGGGGCGTAAACATGTTGAAGCCCCCCCCCATCCCTGGAAAACACATCACCCCCTTCTCCCTATGCAGACGTAGGCGTGACTGCTAAAGTGGGCGGGGCGTGTGACAGTTTTTTGCGGTTTTCTGCCCGTTGAGTGACAGGAACAGGATAGCATTTCCTAAGCGGGTTTTCTTCGGCTTTTCTTTGCCTTCGAAAACTGCTAGAGGAACACTGAAAGATGTGGTGAAAAAAAATTAAATTAGTAAGTCCATAAAGATCTGCAGAAAAGAGTACTTCCTGACTTGAATCCCTTTTGTTTTTAACATATATGTAAAATACTGATATTCCCTAAAATATGAACTCTTCAATTCTCTCTAACGAAGCTTTTTATATAATTTTATATTTATCATAATCTATTATGGTTAATCAATGGAAAAATATATTCCAAAGCCCATAATCCACCCTTAATTAAGTTTTTCTTTCTGGTAATGATAAAACATAATTTTGTATTTTTTTGTTGGCTTCACATTCATAAATCGGCGAAAGGACACTATGGAAAATTGGAGAATGAAGGGCTGCCAATTGATACGGCTTTCTACTCCTTTTTGAACTCCTCCCCATTTGGTTCGTTGATCACCGATTTTTGCTCCTCCTTCGCCTGGTTATCGTCCCTTTCCCCAGCGATCTCCTCGATAGGCAGTCGATTGTTCCGATTGTCCCCAGCGATCTCCTCGATAGGCAGTCGATTATTCCGATTGTCCTGGTGATGGCGATGATTGGCGCAGCAGCAGCAGCAGGAGCAGGTCTGCTGTCTTTTCTTCCGCTGCTTTTCCAGGCGATTGCGGGCCTTCACCTCGGGATGCCCGAAACAGTGCTCGCACTCGTCGTCCGTGGAGGACGAACTCTCGCCGAAAGGATGCGGCTTGCGATAGATGCAGCAGCACTTCGATTTGCGCCGATTCATGTGCTCGTTATCGATAACGCCGGCATGGAAGCCGACGCGCCGCTCCGCCGGCTCCTGATGTGCCAATCGGAGGCGGAGCAGGCAGGGCGTGGCCGGTGCATGGTGCACGGAGTCGCTACTATCCGCCGAACTGAATCCGGAGTCCGTCTCCAGCGGCAGCGTCCCAGGAATCGTCCTGGTTGTCGTCGTGGCAGCCTTTCTGGAGGTCCGCGCCTCCGTCTCAGGATCGATTGTCGATGCCTTGGTCGTCGGCTGATCCATGGCGGGAAAGCAAAGGATGTGGTTGCTTTACTGAATTTAGGGGCCTTTAGAAAACTCGTTCCGAAATTAGGTTCCAGGATCAAATCTGTCTTGAACAAAATTTCATTTTCAAATCAATGGAAAATGAAGTTGTTTTCATTACCAGATGTGATATTTTTAAATAACAAAATACACTAATAAATATGCGGATATCAGTGATTTATTTTTAATAATTTCAATTCAAATTCCATTTTCAGTGAATAAAATTGAAAATGATTTTTTTCTTGGATTGAAATAACATTAAATGAACACATTTTCGGTGCAAGTTTTACACATTTTCTATGTTTAGTGAGAACTGTGCTATCAAACATCAATGTGCTGAGGCTGCCTGTGGGCCACCAAGTTTGCTGACCTCTTGGCCTTTCCCTCCCTCTCTTTCTGCCGCCGTCTACCCGTCTCGCTCCCTCGGTCTCTGGCCCTCTCTTTCTGGCTGTCTCGTCTCCAGCTTTAGCCGCAGTCATTTTGGCTGCCAAAACTTGTGCACGATTTACGTCAATTGGACAAGCGCCAGGACACGCCTTAACCCCGCAGTGCCCCCCCTTCCCATTTAACCCGCTGCTTTCCAGCCCCACCCGCCCAGTTTTCCACCCACTTTTCCACCCAGATTTCCCTCACACTTTCCCAAATCCCACAGCAGCTCCTTTGCCGGGCTCTATGTTTACCTAAAATGCAATTCTCCTTGCCCGCTGCAGTTTTGCATTTATTATTGGTACAGTGGGTGGAAAATGGGAGGGCGGCTCGGAAAAGCCATTTTCCATTTTACTTTACCACTTTTGCCTTTGAAAATTGCACAAAAAATCCGACCCCCTCCTATATACATATACATATATATATATGTATATATTTCTTTTTTTATTTACGCATGGCGAATAAATGTTGAAAATAATATGATGGCTGCTGTGCTGCGGGGTTAAAGAACTTTTTGCCAGCTTCGTTTTCGTTTTCTTGGCTTTTGGTTTTTCCCCTTCTTTTTTGACTATTTTTTCCACTTGTTTTTTTTTTTTTGCCAGTGGCCGCGTGTATTTTACTTCTTGTCTGCATTTATCTGGCATTAGAAGCAAGAAAAATTATGTTTGCGGTCGAAAAAAAAGGGGGTTTTGTCTGCTCTGCTGCAGATAATAAAATGAAAGCCGCAGCGTCCAAAATGCGAAGTGAGTTCAGCCAACGACCCAGAATGAAAAATTATGCTCAATGCTGTTTGAATGGTTAAGTTTTTTCCGACCTTCCGGGGGCGGAAAGAGGGCGTGGCCGAGGTTCAAGTGCAAGGTACTGAGCAAATTCGAGGTGACAAAGTGCTTTTTTCGACATACAAATATTTAATCGATTGATTGTGTTTGAACTAGTAATGCTTTTTGCATACGAAAAGTTCACCAATATTGTTACTTTAGTTTTACATTTTGTTTTGTTTTCGGTTTCTATTAATATTGAGAATTCAGTGACTTTAAACTTGCATTAAACTTTATAACCAATTTTATCGAAAAGTTCATTATATCAACCACGAAATGAGAAAATAATTAAAATATTAATTAGAGAATTAACATTTTAGATTTTTTATATTCTCTGCATCTCAACTATAATTTGCCAACCTGGAGGGGCTTTATACATATATGTTTATAGCATATATATAGTCCCAACCCAGCTTCCCTTAACAGTTTGTGGCCCTTCTGATTTCTTTTTTTAGGTACTTGCCGCGACACCCAGTTGGGGAATCACCTAAAACTATTTGCAGGCCATTGGACTAAACACTTTGGCGGCTGCTCTTCACGCACTTAACGGCAAATAAATGTTTCCGGTGGGCGGCAAAAGCGGAAATGCGGAAAAGCGGAGGCGTTATGTCCAAGGAGAACCAAATCCTCGAGCGCCTGTGGCCATAACTTCTTTCGGAGTGCCATTGAAATGAAATCTAAAATTCATTACGCATTTTATGCGTCAAAAGGAGATTGGGGATTGGGATTGGAGGAGGAAATGGGGGGGGGAGATGGAGATGGAGGTGGGTGGCACGTAATGAGGCGCGTGCCTGGCCTGAACCTGCCCCATCCAACAAATGGCATTTATGTCCCAATGGAGACACGCACAAAACGCGACGACAGCAACGCCTTCGACTGTCTCCTGTTTTCCCTCCGCATTTCCCTCGCTTTTCCTCCGGACTTTCCCCGCAGCCCCATCTGCGCGAGCAATTTACCCGCCGGAATTGTAAGCTCAAGCGTCCGTGTCTCCTTTGTCGCTGGTGTGGTTGTCTTTGGGGAATAAGATGAATTACATGCTACTTCAGGCAGTCCCCCTCCCCTCCTCACGATGCTCTATCGCCGCTCGCCACTCGCCATGCAAAATCATGCAGATAACGCACAAAAAGGTACCAGGAACTAAATCCCCAAGCACATAGTTTCGCAGCAGGAAGTCCCTTTAAAAACAGTGGAACTTAAGCTCCAAGAGAAATGGCAAAAAAATAGCTCAGGGAAGAAAGAAAATAGGGGAAAAAGAAGGAGCGCAGTGGAAAAGAATGCTGAGTAGAAGAATCCCAAAATTACAGAGAGGAAAGAAGTTCCTTAAAAAACAGAATGGAACCTTTAAAGGAAGACAGTAGTGTTTGTTTGAGTATAATTTTTAAATTAAGTGATTTTAAATTCCGTTGGTCACACTTTTGCAGTGGTGTGACCATGCAACTATATTTCTAGTCAAATTTAGGTTATTATTAAACATTAGTCCCTAAAGAAAGCAGGCAATTGGTATTGATATTTCTTGAAAGAGTTTTACTCCACAGAATTCCCACAGAAGTAGAGCTGCATCTTAAGGATACACAAAGCATAACCTAATTTGCAGCTCCAGTTCCTCATCTGAAACCGATCCGTAGGGCTGCTGCCACCCCATGCTGTTCGAAATTTATGGAAATTTCCATTTAACAATTTCCGCCTTGCATCGAAAGCAGTGTGCCGGTAAAAAGGAGACTGAGAGCGAAATCAACCGCACGGAAATCATGTCTACGCATCATTCTTTATGCTATTACTCTACTAGTCCACTCCCCATTTCCCCCTTTTTCCCCACTACAGTACATTTCTTCCTTTTTTTGGCGTTCCTGTATTGTATTTGGTTTCGGCTTGTGTGTGTGATTTTGCGTGGCTGTGTGGAAATGTGTGATAAGCAGTTTCCGCCAGGGAATAGACCACAAATATATATATCTATATATACATATATATCTATATGTATGTGGTATGGCGTGAGAAGATAGTTCTTTGAATGCCTAGGCTTTGCCTGTTTTTCCTTTTCATTGGCTTCGAACTGTCCAACACGACAAGCCCGCACATAGAAAAATATGTAAGGTTTTGTCACTTCTACAAATTAAATATTAAATAATATGCCTGATATATAAATATAATTTTGTAATAATAAACCCCAAAGTAAATCTAAGAAACTATTGATTTTTGACTCTTCAATTGATCACATCTGCATAGAGGTGATATTTTGTTTTAAAATAATTAAATTAATTAAATCTAAATTAAAAAAAAATTGTTGCTTACATGGAATTCATATATTTATTTTTAAAGGAGAGTGGTTTTTCTTAGTGTAGGCATGCACACTTACCATGAACCACAAAAAAAAGGGGGCAAGGCTTCGGGATTGAGCCACATCTCATAGTAAAGGCGACAAGGGAAGCGGAAGCTGTGGCTACTAATGCAAATATAATGGCAAATGTTTCGGAAATATATTTCACAGATAAAATTGATAAAGAACACGCCGCCGCCCTTAATCCACCCTCGCAAAATCTATTGTATGCGACGGCAAGCGGAAAACTATTTGCTCGCTTTTTTTCCACACTTTTCCACTCCCCAATATCCAGCATCAACAACACAAAAAAAAAAGGAAAACATCAGAAGGACTACTCCTCACTTGTGATTCCCAAACGTCCTTTGTATCCTTTTCTTTTTCCTTGCTCTTGGTTTTCTTATCTATCAATCTATAACTCTCATCATATTTAAGGATTGTCCAGGCAGGCGAAAAAGGTTGGAGATTTGCCTATTGTATCCGGCTATTTATGTATTTCATAAGAAGAAAATTCTGCACTAAAAGTAGGTACTTTAAATATGTTTCTTTAAATGGCATGTATTCAATCAGAAAGTTTGCTGTATAAACTTTGCTTGCACTTATCTAAATCAGCTGCTTGTTAAAGTGTTTAATAAAATTATTTAAGTAAACTACATAGAAGAAATCATAATAGCATCTTAAATTGTAGTGAGTATTATTTACCTAACTTAACTTGACGGACTCTATAAGCCATACTTCAGAGACACATAATAAGCAATAGTTAAGACTTTAGTTACTTCTTGACCATTTACACTTTGCTGCCACTTAAGCTCACTTTCGACATCTTTATTCGACTTCTCAAGCTACTTCCCTACTTATTTTTTGCCCTCCACAATAAATGTCAATTTTGCACTGCTCTCAATCAAATAAGTTTGCTGTTGAAAGTTGAGACTTCCTTTCGCCCTTTCACATCCTTTCAATTTCTTTTATTTGTCCGAGCTTAAGCTCCAGCTAATTTCAGTCTCTCTTTCCACTTCCGTCTCATTCCTTGCCTCACTCAAACTATTTTTATGATTCTTGAGCTTAAGTAATCGAAATAAATAAAACGGAATCTGTGTCACAGATTTTCTGCCATCTGGCCGAGCAAAATGTAAACAAAATAAATAGGAGAACGAGAACGAAAACGAGACCAAGACGATGGCGATGGCGATGGCGATGAAGCCGTTGACAATGGTATTCCCCATAGAATGGTAGGTCGTTGGGCTGCATCCATCCATTTGTCAGTTACCCTTAGTGGAGCAAAGAAAAAAATCTAATATAAATTCCATTACAATTATATAAATTTCACTCAAGTTTGCAATAATTTGAAAGCCTGAGACGCGACAGAAACGAGTTGAGCGAGGGAGTACTGTACTATAGCAAAAAAAAAAAAAGAAAAAAAAGGGAAAAGGGGCAGCAAAAGAAATGCATCATAAATTTTCATGTTGCTCTCGCGATTTTCTATTGTGCTCCACTGGAGAGTGGCGAGCAATGGACATAAAAAGCCAAGCCCAAGACAGCGGCAACTTTCAACTGGAGTAGTAGTAACTGGAGCTGCTGCCTCTACACA